GACTGTTCATGTCCTACGGTAACGATGTATATATCAGTCGCCTTGTTCTTACAGTATACAGGAAAGACTGTTCACGTCCTATGGTAACAATGTATATATCAGTCGCCTTGTTCTTACAGTATACAGGAAAGACTGTTCATGTCCTACGGTAACAATGTATATATCAGTAGCCATGTTTTTACAGTATACAGGAAAGACTGTTCACGTCCTACGGTAACAATGTATATATCAGTCGCCATGTTCTTTCAGTATACAGGAAAGACTGTTCATGTCCTACGGTAACAATGTATATATCAGAAGCCATGTTCTTACAGTATACAGGAAAGACTGTTCACGTCCTACGGTAACAATGTATATATCAGTCGCCATGTTCTTACAGTATACAGGAAAGACTGTTCACGTCCTACGATAACAATGTATATATCCAATCGAACTTGTTTTTCGTTACCTCCGTGGCTCTTGACTACACAAATTGAAGGCTGTGGGGGGGCATATTTACGCAACTAATTCAAGCCACTACATTTTGTCGATTCGTAAAAAGGGGGGATATATGTAGTGTTGAGCATTACAAGTTTGTGAGGTTATTTTCAAGCAATGAACGTTCACTTGAGTTTAGCTAATGCTATGTTGACAAATTTTAAAAACAGTGTTTTAGCTGAAACATCTCGTAGCTGCACTCTGTCGCTTACTCGTATGTTTGTCAAATATTTCAAAAAGTATTCCAATAGTTTTAATTCATAGAACTTATTCTATTTTTATATATTAACGCTCAGTAATATTAATCATTTGAATTTTGTTTCAAAGAGTTTTAAATTGTCAATTAAACAAATTAGTCGATTCCTACCGATATAGTTCGTCAGTTTTTACAGATAAGCAACAAAGAAAATATTCCCAAGTCTATGTAATGGTTTGCATAAGATATTTTACTTACTGTATACGAAACATTTTGGATAAACCTACACCAATTTACTGGAATGAGTTTGGTATACTTTAGATTAATTTTTCAAGTTTTATCTAATACGTACGAGTCAGTATTTTTATCAGTGCAGAAATAATTTTTTTTGATACGACTAGCCTTATTCATTTACTGAATTCAGCTAAGTTGTATACTACTTTGAGAGTAGGCTCTCTATAAGAGGTTTGAACGCCAATCCACGGTCTGAAAACAAGGATTCTATTATAGAGTTAAAGATGTAAATGATACTGCTGCTGTCTTTGATACTTTGTTCTATTCCCATGGCGGAAAAAAAAAACCTTCTTCTCCCTATCTGTTAACACCCATATATGATGTTCATTTCCCCTTTAATGACGTTTCTTGTTTTTTATGTCATAATATACTCCCTAAGAGAGTACTAAAGGAGTAAATTTGGGGAAATGATATAACTGTGATAACCTTAAATAACTTATATTCTTGTTCTTACTAAAAACGAAAGAAAATGAATTCATAATTTTAATTTTTTTTTATTTTATTATCTGTCTTCCTTATATTTTTCCTCCGAGCTTCATTGCAATACAGTTCATTGAAACCAATTTGTGCATTGATTCAGTAGGAATGCGGGACAACGTTAAAACACACGAATAAAACTTTATTAAAACAAAACATGTAAAAAAATAAAACGTGACTAGTTTCGGTCGTTTGGGGGCCATCAAGTACTTCTGACGATGCCCCCCCCCCCTAGAGCGACCGAAACTAGTCAATTTAATATTTTATCTCTTTTATTTTAATAAAGTTTTATTCATATATTTTAAAGATGACGTGTATTCCTATTGACTACAGATGGTGATACGGATTTCATTACCATGTCACTCTCCAGTCAGACAGGAATTTCTCCAATAATAATTTTTCACAATCATTATGCACTTCGAGGCCAGTAATGTACTAAACACATCAATATTTCTCAAACTCTATATTTTTTGTTACGTTTCTTGTACCGGTTTTGTTGTTTTTAGATATATTACTTTTCATTTTGTTTCAGAAGTTAAAAAGTAAAAAGCATTCACTAAAGATCATATAAATACTTTAAAAAAAAATCTTTCTGCAGCGTACATGTGGCCGAAAAAATAAAAGTTTTTCTTCTAGAGCAAAGCTACTCAATAGGCTGTATGCGCTCTGTCCAATACAGGGACTTGAACCCCTAATTTTATCGTTGTAAGTCCGTAAACTTACAATTGACTCAGTATGCAAATAGAAAAAGCAAATTCCACTTTTCTTTCTTAATTAATACACTGACTTATTCACACTGGCAATGTGACATTACGAGGACTGAAACGCTCTTTTAAACTGGTCTATTTTAGTATCCTATTTTTATTGCTTTTATGTTTCAATAGTATTTTCTGCACATTTTGAATGACAGTTAGTTTTAGAAGTGGGATGTTATGTGCTTGAGTGCCTATACTTGTTCATTTTTAGTTTAGAATTCGTTTCAATTACAAGATGAATAAAATCTCTTCACTTCGTGCGTTGATCGACCTTTGGATATCTCTGTTACTATGCTACATTTCACTGTTCTTACACTGTATTTGTACCCTATTTCGACTTGTTTGCTCTGTAACATTTTTGTTTTATCTTTACCTGTTTGTTTAACTAGTGAATTTTACTAAACATAAGAGGTTCTGTTGTGAAATTATGCTTACATTTATACACACACACATATATGGTGGTTAGGGAGCTCGACTCGCAGTTTACAAGACCTAACTATGCAATACAAAGTTCTACGATTTAAGTAGATATGGCATGGTGGTTAGGGTGCTCGACTCATAATACCCGGGTCATGGGATTGAATCCGCGTCACCGAACATGTTTGTCCTTTCAGCAATAAGAGCGTTATGATGTGACGGTCAATCCTCTATTCGTTGGTAAAAGAGTAGCCCAAGAGTTGGCGGTGGGGAGTGTTGACTAGTGGCGTTCCCTCTAGTCTATCACGGCTAAATTAGGGACGGCTAACGCAGATAGCCTTGAGTAGTTTTGCACGACATTCAAAACAAACAAACTTATGCGCATATGAGCTAAACGAATAGATGAGAGACACCTAGGATTTAAGTATGGACAACCTCTAAGTTTCTAACCAGAGTGAAGACAGCTAGCCAGCAGCATTCGCCACTAACAGGGTTTTGCCAGGATCTTTAAGCTAAATAACTGGACTGACGAAAGTTAAGAGCGTGTCATTAAGTCTCGAACCCTGGACCCTTCGATTCGCAGCCAAACCTGCATGAGGGAGAAATAACAGTGCCACCCAGCAATAACGATGATATATTTCTCATTAAATCTAACATTTCATGTTATATAAATAACTCACAAAACCAAATAAAGTCACCCAGAGAACTATAACAAGCCCCCCAGTGGCACAGCGGTATGTCTGTGGACTTCAACGCTAGAAACCGGGTTTCGATACCCGTGGTGGGCAGAGCACAGATAGCCCATTGTGTAGCTTTGTGCGTAACTTCAAACAAACTATAACAAAGTAATATAAATTAGAAAAGTACAAAAGGTAAAAACTGTAAAAGAATATACGTATGTGCGTTAATAACTTTCTAAATGTGTTGCTAATATTCCGATAGCAATAGGAAAAACAAGTAGGCCTATATCGGAAAATGGTTTGATTTTTTGTTTGTGAATTTCGCACAAAGCTACTCGCTAAAATTCGGGGTTCGATTCCCGTGGCGGATACATCGCAGATATTCCATCCTGTAGCTTTGCATTAAAACACTAATACATAATACAGATTAGTTTTAACCCTTCGTTTGCGGCTTGTGTAAATCTGTCTACCACT